TTGGGAATTCTTCTCAATGTTATCCGTAATTTGTCATGATCCACACAATCAAATGCCTTTGCATAGTCAATAAAGCACAAGTAAACGTCTTTCTGGTATTCTTTCCCTTGAGCTAAGATCTATCTGACAGCAGCTATGATATCCCTTGTTCCACGTCCTCTTCTGAATCCAGCTTGCACCTCTGGAAGTTCTCTGTCAATATACTGCTGCAGCTATTTCTGAATTATTTTCAGTAAGATCTTACTTGCATGTGATATTAATGATATTGTTCAATAATTTCCACATTGTGTGGGATCACCTTTCTTTGGAGTGGGTACAAATATGGATCTCTTCCAGTCAATTGGCCAGGTAGCTGTCTTCCAAATCTCTTGGCATAACCGAGTGAGTGCCTCCAGTGTGGCATCCGTTTGTTGAAATATCTCAGTGGGTATTCCATCAATTCCTGGAGCCTTGTTCTTCACCAATTCCTTCATTGCAGCTTCCACTTCTTCCTTCAGTACCATTGGTTCTTGATCATATGTCACTTCCTGAAATGGATGAAGATTGACCAGTTCTTTTCGGTACAGAGTATTCCTGTATTCCTTCCATCTTCTTTTGATGTTTTGCCCTTAGAATCTTTCAATGTTGCAACTGGAGACTTAAATTTTTTCTTCAATTCTTTCAGCTTGAGAAATGCCAAGCGTGTTCTTCCTTTTTGGTTTTCTAACTCCAGGTCTTTTTTTTTTGGGGGGGGGGCGGACTTGATGGTACTTAAGTCTAGTTATAGGTCTAGGGCAACAATAGGTGGTGGGGGTTGTTCCCGGGAAAATTCACAAAAGTCTTGTAAGGCATCTGTCTCTGGCAATGCCTCAGACAATTCCCCAGGCACTGCTCCAGGTGATATCCCAAACAATGATTCAGCAGGCACAGCTGGGTTAGTCTTATGAGACAGGGATATGAGGGCTAGATCTGCTCACAGGAATGTTTCAACAAAATTTAGGGGCTCAATATACCCAGCTTCCTAATTATCTGCCCATAATTATCTGCTCATCTATCTCCATCCCAAGTTTCAGAATCGCATTCCCTCCCCATTAATGCCCTCACTTTAACTTCAGACACTGTTCAAGGTTGGCAAGTCAATCAGTGCTATAATTTAGCCTCTCTTATCATAAAACTCTGCATTTGCTTTTTGACAATATCAGTTTTGTTACAACAATAAATAAGGCTTTCTTTCAAGGCACAAGTGGAAACATTGATGACTTTTATGCAGCTCCTGAACTGTGATTCCAAAGCCCTGAGCTCATCTCATCATCTCAGTCTTTTACCACTCTGTCAAGCATTAGTAGGACCAACTAGTCAGCTTCCTTATACTTCTTATTCTGACAAAATTTTGGGAAAATATAAAACCTGTGATCACTGAGACCCTTACTTCTTACTAATAGTTGATGTTTTGGTAGGGTTTTATATATATATATATATATATATATATATAAAAATATTGCCACCTCACACCATGGATTAGCAGTGCCCTCATTACTAATGGAAGCAGAATCATCAGTCCCTTTAAAACTAATCAGATTTGGAAACCAAACTAGAAACTCATGTTTCCAATTTTGCTTCTCTAGAACCACCCTTAGTACAAAATGTCTTAGGCTGTGTTTTCTAGAGAAGGATAATCAGTGAAGCTTGTAGATAGACATGCAGGTAGATAGATAGATAGAAATTTATTTCCAGAAAATGGCTCACACAGTTGTAGAAGCTGGCAAGTCCAAAGTCCAAGGGTCAGAGGATTAATATGAATTCTGCATTCTGTGACTATAATTGTATTGAGTTGTAAATCAGTGTTAGAGGGAGAACACTAAAATACTTACACAATGATAATACAGTCTTACTTCAAAATAATCCAGTGGGATTTTGACTAAAATATGGTTATTTTTTAAATCCAGGCACCTATATATACTTGTGTTGTTTGTTGCCATCGAGGTGGCTCCGACTTGTAACAGAACAAAACTTTGCCTGGTCTTGCATCATCTTCATGATCTTTGAATGTGTGTACTCATTGTTGTGGCTATTGTGTCAAACCATCTCGTTGAGGGTTTCCCCTCTTTTTTGGTAGCCTCTACTTTACAAAACATCTATTAGTTCTTTTCTGGAATTGATTTATCTCTCATTCTCTCTTTTTAATTGCACTTTGAGTGCAAATTTACAGAGCAGAATTTGTTTTACATTCAACAGTTCAAGTACATTTGGTTTCACTCCTCAATTACCATCCTCAACCCTAACCTACTCTCCACCTCTCCCTTCCCTGTGACCTCCCATCCCTGTGTCCTTCTTAGTTATGCATTTCTGTCTATCCAGCTTTCCCTCCATGTGAATGAGGCTGCTCTGGTGTCCCATGGCCAATTGCTCCAAAGGGTGTATCTCCGTAGAGTAGGCAGGTGCATCGCCCTAGTTTGGGTGTTCTGCATGTAAGTCTTTCTACTGTTGGGCTGAAAGCCAATCCTTGGGAGTGAGTCCCTTCCTAGGCCCGAAGTGTATCCCAGGGCCATAGCCTTGGGGGTCCCACCAGACTCCATCTGGCAAGTAATTCTTGTCATTATTGTATTTTTGAATTTTGTTGCACATTTTTCCTCCCACTCTATCTAGGATCTCCAATTTTGATCCCTTCCAGAGTAATTGGAATTGGTAGCCAGGCACCATCTAGTTCTTCTGGTCTCAAGGTCCATCAAATCTTCAGGCTGATTGTTTCCAAATGCCCTTGGTTTTCTTCACTCTTCTTCATTTCTTATGAGAGGAGACCATTAGCTGTATCTTAGATGGCCACTAGAAAACTTTTAAGAACCCAGTCACTACTCATCAAGTAGGTTGTGTAACAAGATTATTATATAGTATGCCATGCCAATTGAGATCATATCAATTAACACAGAAAAGGCATTTGATAAAATACAACACCTGTTCCTGTTCAAAACTCTCAGCAAAATAGAGATAGAAGAAAAATTCCCTAACATAATAAATGGCATATATGCAAAGCCAATGGCCAACATTATTGTTAATGGAGAAAGACTCAAAGCATTCCCCTTACAAATGGGAACCAGGCAAGGATGCCCTCTATCACCACTTCTATTTAACGCTGCATTGGAAGTCCTAGGCAGGGCAATAAGACAAGAAAAAGAAATAAAAGTTATCCAAATTGGCAAAGAGGAAGTAAAACTATCTATATTTGTGGACAACATGATCTTATACATAGAAAACGCAAGAGACTCGGCAAAAAAAAAAAAAAAAAAAAAACCTCCTGAAACTAATAGAGAGGTTCAGCAAAGTGGTTGGATACAAGGTCAACATACAAAAATCAGTTGGATTTCACATCAACATCAACAAGGAGGCCTCTGAAAGAGAAATAAGGAAAACAATACTATTTACAATTGTTGTTGTTTTTGTTATGTGCCGTCGAGTCGGCCCTGACTCATAGCGACCCCTCCTTGGGTTTTCAAGGCAGTATCACTACAGAAGTAGGATTGCCCAACCTTCCTTCTGAGGAGTGGCTGGTGGGTTTGAACCGCCAGCCTTCTGGTTAGCAGTCAAGTGCTTTAGCCACTATGCTACCAGAGCTCCTATTTACAATAATTACCAAAAAGATAAAATATCCAGGAATAAATCTTACTAGAGACACAAAAGACCTATACAAAGAAAACTATAAAACACTACTACCACAAGGGATCTACGTAAATGGAAGAACTTGCCTTGTTCATGGATAGGAAGACTGAATATTGTGAAACTGTTGATACTACCCAAAGCAATCTAAACATTTAATGCAATCTTGATCCAGATACCATTAATATTTTTAACAATATGGAAAAACCAATTACTAACTTCATATGGAAAGGAAAGAGACCTCAAATAAGCAAAGCATTACTGAAGAAGAACAAAGTGGGAGGTCTCATACTCCGAGATCTCAAAACCTACTATACAGCCACAATAGTTTAAACAGCATGGTACTGGTACAATGATAGACAGATAGACCAATGGAATGGAATCGAAATCCCAGAAATAGACCCATCCATTTATGGACAGTTGATCTTTGAGGAAGGACCAAAACCTATTAAATAGGGAAGAGACAGCCTCTTTAACAAATACCAAAACACCAAACCAAACTCACTGCTGTTAAGTCTATTCAACTCATAGCAATCCCTTAAACTTAAACGTAAAACCCACAACTATAAAGCTCATCAAAGATAAAATAGGGGCAAATCTAGGGTACCTAATTTATACCATAAATAGACTATCAAGCAGAACCAAGAATGCACAAGATGTGGAAAAGAAGCTAGATGATTGGGGCCTTTTAAAAATTAAATTCTTATGCACATTGAAAGTCTTCGTCAAAAGGTAAAAAAAGAACCTACATATTGGGAGAAAATATTTGTCTACGACATATCTGACAAAGGACTTATCTCCAAAATTTATACAAAACTTCAACACCTCAATGCCAAAAAGATAAACAATCCAATTAAAAAACAGTCAAGGGACATGAACAGACACTTCACTAAAGATAATATGCTGGCAGCCAACAAACACATGAGGAATTGCTCATGATCATTAGCCATTGTTGTTGTTACATGCAGTCGAGTTGGACCCGACTCTTAGTGACCCCTCCTTGAATTTCTGAAGTAGATTGCCCAATCTTCCTTCTGAGGAGTGCCTGGTGGGTTTGAACTGCCAGCCTTCTGGTTAGCAGTCAAGTGCCTTAGGCACTATGCTACCAGAAAAATATGCAAATCAAAACAACATTGAGATATCTCACCCCAGCAATAATAGCAAAGTTCAACAAGGCAGAAAATAATAAATGCTGGTGATACCGCAGAGAGATTGGAACTCTCACACACTGCTTGTGGGACTGTAAAATGGTACAATCATTGTGAAAAATGGTATGGCATTTCCTTAAACACTGAAAGTAGGTGCGCCCCAGTGAGGTAGGTCAGCTCCCAGCCTTTGTGCTGGCCCTGGGCTTCAGGGATAGGGGTGCCATGAGCGGTGCAGGCAGGGCGGAAGCAACACCTGCCAGCTCCACATTGCCTGAGCAGGAGAAGGGCATGGCATGGTGGTACCACTGGCTATGTCACTTGTCTGAGGGGCTGGGGGACATCTCGTCTGCCATCTCTGGCCTCTTCAACTGTATCACTATGCACCCCCTCAACATCGCAGCTGGAGTGTGGATCATCATGGACACCTTCATCCTGTTGCTGTGTGAAGCACCCTTCTGCTGTCAGTTTGTCAAGTTTGCAAACATGGTGGTGGAGAAGATGGATTGACTGCGCTCCTGGCAGAAAGCTGTCTTCTACTGTGGGATGGCTGTTGTTCATCAGCCTGACTCTGACCACCCTGTTGGGGAATGCTGTCACATTCTCCACAGGAGTGTTGTATGGACTCTCCGCTCAGGGCAAAAAGGGCTGTGCCATCTCCTATGCCAGGATCCAGCAGCAGAACCAGCAGGTGGATGAGGAAAAACTCACAGAGACCCTGGAGGAGGAGCTGTGATGCAGTCAGATACCTTTCTCCTTGCCAACTACCCCCTGGTTCTATGTGACATTCCAGAGGGATGGGCCTGGAGTGGTGACTCCAGGGGCAGCCTGAAAGAGGAGCCTTCCTGGAGCCCCTACAGCCCTCTATGCTCATCCCTCACACCTGGACTTCTCTTCTAGTGGCCCCTTTCTCTAGCTGAGTGTCTCCTGGTTCAGACTCTGCCAGAGGCCAAGAGCCAGTCAGGGTACCATGGTACCATCAGCATGTAGTATGGACAATGGGAGGTCCAGACCACAGGACTGGAGGCTGAGAGAGCCTCACAACCATGGAAAACTGGTGGGCCTTTTTCCCAGTCAGCCTGGCTCAGCCTGGAGTGGGTGCTGGGGGGACTTATAGATCGCCCCCCCCCCATAGCGGGGGCAGCCCTGCTGGGCTTCTGATGATGGCATCTATCTTATGGGCAGGGTTGTCGTTCTGCAGATGCCCTTCCCCTCTGCCTTGGGCTGCCAGCCTGCTGCCTTCTCTGTCCATGGGGCTACCAATGCATCCGTACCAATGACCAGCCTGGACAGTGACTTGACAGCAGGGTTCCTCGAACCTTGGACTTAGCCCTCCCACCCCCACTCCAGGACTTGGTGCTTGGCACAGGGAGAGCAGACTCTCTTGCCAATGGGAATGCCCATATCAGCAGGACCCACCCAAGCCCTCAGCCAGGGCCAGGCTGACCCACTCAGGTAATCCTCTTAGCCTGCTGCCAGCCCTGCCCTCTCTGAGGCTGTGCTTTGGAAACCAGGCAGAGACCAAGCTGCCTCCCACTGAGCTGACCTCACTGCCTGGTGCCAGCTACCAGGAGCAGGGCTTGTGCTGCAGGCTGGGCAGGCTGACACCAGCAGTACCTCAGCATCCCTGCCTTCCTCCACGGCCACATTCTCCTCTCCCCACCCTAACCTCAGACCCAGGCTGCCCAGGTTCTAGACTGGTTCTGCAGTTGCAGAGCACAGGCAGGTAGACAGAGTGGGCCCAGCTCCTTCCAGTGTTCTCTGGCTCTAAGCCACAGGCTGTGCCCAAGGCCATGTTTCCAGGAAGGACTGAGGGGAAACTGGCATTTGAGGTCCAGTTGGAAGTGGTGCTTCACTGGGGGGCCTGCCCAGCACTGTTGGGGTGGGGAAGCACCAGTGGGTATCTGGGTCAGCATCTTCACCACCCTCCCAATCTTCCTAACTGGGCTGAGCCCCAGGGTGGTGGGAGTAGATTCAATTGGCCTAGCAGGACACGTGCCTTCCAGGATCCTCTGGGTCCACCTTCCTCAGGCCAGTGTTGGCTTCAAGGGGTGTGGGCTCCAGGCCCTTGTGTGTGTATGTGTGTGTGTGTGTGTGTGTGTGTGGTATGTCTGCTCCCATGTGTGTAGAGAATAAGACCTGTCTACCTCCTGAAGGTGCTCCAGCCCTGCCCACTCTTTTGTCTGCCTTTTGCCCCCTAGCTCCTGCCTTTGCCCAAAGGCTAGATCAGGAAGATTGTATTTCTCCACTGTGGGGCAGGTGGGTAGATGCTAGCCAAACCACAGAGTAGGGCACTGAGAGGGAAGAGCCCTCAGCACTGAGACCCACAGGCCAAAGTCCAGGCCAGATGGTTTGGTCCATTTCCCCAGGTTTTAGTGCAGAGCAGGCCTTGAGCCCATGGCTCCTACGTCTCAGCATGGGTGGCCTCCATAGCAGCACCCAACCTTTAACACCATGAGGCCTGCCAGTGTCTGGACTCTGCCCTGAACTCCTGTTTGCTCCCCATGCCCTCTCAGTGTCTGGTCGGGTTCTGAGCAATAAAGGAGGTTCTAGTCTGCTTGTCCATTGGAAAAAAAAAAAAGCACTGAAAATAGAAATACCATTTGATCCAGCAATTCCATTACTAGCACTGTATCCTAAAGGGGTGAGAGATAGGACATGAACAGACATATGCACACCCTTGTTCATTGAAGCACAATTCACTACAGCAAAGACATGGAAACAACCTAAATGCCCATCAGATGAATGGATAACCAAATTATGGTTGTTGTTGTTGTTGTTATGTGCCGTTGAGTTGGACCTGACTCATAGTGACCCCTCCTTGGGTTTCTGAGGCAGTATCACTACAGAAGTAGATTGCCCAACCTTCCTTCCAAGGAATGGCTGGTGGGTTTGAACCACCAGCCTTCTGGTTAGCAATCAAGTGCCTTAGGCACTATACTACCAGAGCTATGGTATGTTCAAAAATGGAATACTATGCTACATTAAAGGACAAAGGATATGTGAATCATATCATAACATAAATGAATATGGAGGACATTATGCTGATGAAAATAAGTCAGTCACAGAAGGGAAAATATTGTATAAACCCATTACCATAAAAAGTCAAGGAAGGGTTTGCTTAGGGAAGGGAACTCACTTTGTAGGTTACCAGGGATGGGAGGAAAGAAAGGAAAATTTCAGATTAGCTGGGGGCCACATGCTGAGGTGTGTAAGGGGAGGGATGGCATAGAAAGAATCTGTGACCAGCAGAATTGATCTTTCTTTATGACATCTCTAGAGTAAACAAGAGGAAGTTTCATCATTCTCATTTCTAAGAAGCATTTGATATACATATATGAAACTAAATTTCACTCTAGTTAAAGGACAAAAGAAATGGAAATTTCATTATCACAAAGCACCTGTCACATGATAGAAAATGGATAAATACAATAGTATCACTTTAATATTCCATTACAAATACCTATTGTGCTTCAGCAATATATTAATCATCATAATAAATTATTGTTGTCATATTTAATATTTAATATTTTTTAATATTACTTACAAGAATTTTTGTACAAAATTTGCAGAAGAGGTATAATCCAAAGAAATTTGTACCTGTTTTTCCACTTATATGATTGCACATTTTTCAGTATCAATAGAAAAAAATAGGAGAGATGGAGAAAAATTCAAAGGGACGTATAAAGTTCCATAATGGAGGTAAAGAATTTGAGGTTCTGATTCACTATCTGAGCAAAGATATATATATTGTGCATAGTTGAAAATTTAGGTGTAGGATTTGGGAAAGAGATTTTCCTAAAGATACAGAATTGTGCATTATCACAGAAATGATCAAAATATAGATGATTGTCAAAAAGGAATATTTCAAGATCTATCCTGAAGTACAATGTTGTCAGTGACAGGATAATAGCCATATGCCTATGGTGGTTCAAACCCACCAGCCACTCCTCAGAAGAAAGATGGGGCAATCTACTTCCGT